AATAGCACAAAGGAAGGGACTAATGGAAACAGGAGCAAAGATTTTGTGAACTATTAAAATTAAATTAATATTGATTAGCACTGCACTGTTATAAATCAAAATGGTAATAGTAATCCTCAGATAGCCACTAAGAAAACAAATTAAATAGATTTAGCAATTTTCTAAAACCAAGGAATTTAAAATGGTACACTAGAAAAATATCTATAAATAAAGGAGAACATAGGAATAGAGTAACAGAAAAATAAAATACACACTGAAAATGAATAGCAAAATAGCAGGCATAGGTCCTATCTTACTACTAATTGCATTAAATGCAACTAGACAAGCATTAGATAAAAAGGCATATCTTAGCAGAATAGAAAAAACATATGATACAGGGCATGGTTCTATAAAAGACACATATTGGGGGTTGGGGAGATGGCTCAGTGGAATAAGCACTTCTCTGGCAAGCACAAGGGCCTGAGTTCAATCCCCAGTTCCTCAAAAAAAAAAAAAAAAGACATATTAAATTCAAAGACTATAGTGAAAGTTAAAGGTGAAGACATGTATGTATCATACAAAAGACAGCTATAATGACTATATTAATATGTAAAATAGACTTAAAGAATAAATTAGTATGAAAACAGAGTCAATCTATCAGATATATATAACAATTATAACTATGCATACTTCATAAGATAGCCCCAAAATACTTGAGGGAAGTGTAGACAATGCAACAACAATAATAGCCTTAAGTACCAGTTCTCAATATTGATAGAAAAACTTAGAAGATCAAGGAAATAGAATATTTCAACAATATCACGAATCATTTATTAAACAAATATTTATAGAGTAGTCCATCCAAAAATAGCAGAGCATACACTTTTCTTAGGTGGACATAATGTGTCAATTGCCTGCTCAGGGTGCCCTGGGGGCGGGGGGGGGGGGGGCTGTCACAGGCCCCCAGCAGGGCGGTGCCCCACACATGTGCTTAGCTCACACAAGGCTGCACACCCAGTGGGCGGGGGGGGGGGGGGGGGGGACCTGCCCAGCAGGCGTTTTAATCTGCAGAGCTATTTGGCCGGTCCTAAAACCTTTTGTTTTAAAGTGAAAGGATAAGCCATAGAATGTGGAGAAAAACTACAGCCATATATTGATATAAAATAAATTTAGTAAATAGTTTAAAATTTTCAACAAAGAAAATTCCAGGCCCAGGAAGCTGCACTGGCAAATAATTTCAAACATTTAGGTAAAAATAACACCAATTCTACCTAATCATTTACAAAAACAAAAGAAAAAAAAAACCGATTGATTTTATGAGAAACTGACATCAAAATAAAAACATTAAAGGCGCAAACTAACGTTGTCCTCAAACATAAACCAAAAAAAAAAAAAAAAATCCATCAACAAATTTATTAGCGGGGGCCGGGGAGATGGCTCAGTAGAATAAGTGCTTCCCTGGCAAGCCCAAGGCCCTGAGTTCGATCCCCAGTTCTGCAAAAAAACAAAAAACAAAAACAAAAACAAAAATTTATTAGCAAGCATCTTGATTTATTTATTTATTTATTTAGTGTGCACATAGTATGTTATATATTATATGTTATGTGTTACATATACATATCTTATCATATATAGATTATGTAGAGAGAAAACACCTGACAATAAAGTTAAGTTTAGCCTGAAAATGCAAGTTGTTTCAACATTTGAAAATCAAAGTAGTTCACCATATGACAAACTAAAGAAAAATACATGATCATATCAAGAAAGGAAGAAAAACCATTTCAAAAATTCAATATCTATCCATGATAAACACAAAACCAATTTTTAAAACAGCAAATTGGAAACAGCCATGCTCTTCACCTGAGAAAGTAAACTACTTTTTAAAATGTATAGCGAAAACCATGCTGCAAGTCTGCACCACTTACTGAGACATAACAAACCATCCTAAAACTCACTGGCTTAAGACAACAGATTTTTTTCACAGTTTCCATGTTTTGGGAATTTGAAAGTGGCTTAGCCAGGTGGCCCTCACCCAGAGTCTGTCATCTGAAGGCTTTAACTGGGTGGACCACATAGTGACAACCTCATATGCACAGCCGCTGTCAGGAAGCCAGGTCCTCACTATATAGACCACTCACATGGCTGCTTAAGTGTCCCCATAAGTCAGGTAGCTGCCTATAAAGTGAGTGACCCAAGAAAGGATTCAGGAGGATGCCACAAGGCCTTATATATTGTTTGTTTGTTTGTTTGTTTGTTTGTTACAGGGTTTCACTGTGCAGCTCTGACTTGTAGTGATCCTCCTGTCTTAGCCTCCCTAGTGCTTGAATTATAGGTGTGCACCACCCCACCTGGTTTCGGGGCTGGCACAGCATGCCCAGGATTCTGGGACCAGCACAGCATGCAATGCCAAGGATCGAACTTGGGTCCCTGCGCTTACCAGACAGGTGCTGAGACCTCTGAGCTATCTCCCTAGCCCCAAAGCCTTATATATTCTAAGTGGATATCACCTCTAATTTCCTCTTCCACAGTCTATTTGTTAGAAGCAAATCACTACAGAGTCCAGAGTCCACACATAAGGTAAGGGGATTTAGACTTAAGAGAGAAAGTACAGAATAAAGTCACTGGGACCTTGGGTTAGGCAAAAAAAGTTCTTAGATATGAGCCAAAGGCACAATTCATAAAAAAATTTTAAGCATTTTTGCAAATGTTCATTCAATAATAATATTGTGTTCTCAACATATAAAGAACACTCAACACTCAACAATAATAACGCAAGCAATGCACAAAAAATTTAGTGACTTTTGAATAGGCACTTCAATAAAAGTGATAAAAAGATGGAAAAAAATCAGAAAAAGATGCTCACTATTGGTTATCAGAGAAGTGCAGTGTTCTGAGTGAGTCTGCATTTTGACTAACTGCTCAAGTGAGTTTGGAGTGGAATTTTCCAATGTTGTGGTGTCACATTGACACTCAAAACCTTGTGAATTTTGGAGCACTGCAGATTTGGGATTCTCAGATTATAGATTCTCAAACTATACTACTCAGCTATAAAAAGAAACAGACTCTTAATATGTGGAGGAACATAGAAAAGCTCAAGTGCAGTAAGCTAAAGAGAAGAGGCAAGGCCCAAAACCACATACTGATTCATTTGTATGTCACTCAAAAGGACTAAGCATAGGAACAGAGAATGTGACAGTTGTCAGTGGAGGCTGAGACCCAGTGACACCAAGAGAGAAGCAGGGGAGGTTTGGGGAGGCCAGGGACCTTCTGGATATCTTTATTGTGCTGGTAAGCACATGAGACTTGTCAAAACTCATACATCTGTACACTAAAAAGAATGAAATTTGCTATGAGCAAATTTATAATAACACATTTCCTAAAATCCTGGGGCTCAGACTCTGCAAAACTCATTTTCTTTTGCCAGCTGAACTGCGTACAAACTGAAAATTGGAAGTCCTAAAAGAAGACATGATGAAAGGAACTGACTCCAATTTTGTTTTCTGTGTCTGTCAGCATCCTCCAGCCTTGCTTTTCTCTCCCTGAAGACTCTTCCAGTCTCCATCTTCTGTCCTCAAACGGCCTGGCTGCACTCCCCTGCCACCATCAGGGTACCAGCAGCTGTCAACCTTCTTTCTCAGAGGTCTCAGAATTTCCTGTATTTCTGGATTTTAATCCTAATTTCTAAGCCAAATCACCTTTTCTTTTTGTTCTCCTGCACTTCTTAATCACTGCACTCCCTCTGTTCTCTCTGCCTTTTTAGTACTGTGATGCATAGTCATTTCCCTGTATTAAATACTTTTCTGTTAAAACTACTGATACAGCTTTTTGTCCTACCTAGAACTTGAGTGTGAGAGCTGAAGTCATTCTTATGCTCCACAAAGTCCTAGATGATGTCTTCTAGTTGCTCTTTAGCTTCATCTCCTAGTTCTCTTCCCCACCACTCACCCTACCTCTGACTGCCAACTCACAGGAAATACATGTTAAACCCCACCATGGCAATGCAGTTATCAGCATCCAGCATGTGGGAAACTACTGGCATATATCCTCGTCTCTCCAACAAATTACAAGGGAAGAAAACGTGGAATGGGAATCTCTAGGTTAGATGAGCCTTAAGACATCAGCCAACAGAAACATGAAGACCCAGTATGAGCCTGGCTTTTGCATGTATTTGATTATACACACATAAATATATGATAATTGAGGAATGGATGTGCTATATTAAGGAGGTAAGGAATTTATATATTTCAGTTGTTAAATGGAATTTGAGTAATTTTTAAATGAGTCTTTCCTATTCAGAAATATTTGAGAAATCAGGTGTGGTGGCACTTGGGAGGCTGAGGCAGGAGGATCATTGCGAGTTTGAGACCAGCCTGGACCAAAAAGTGAGCTCAAGGCCAGTCTGAGCTACATTGTGAGACCCTGTCTCAAAAAAAAAAGAGAAAAACATATGAGAAAATACTTACTGATATACTGATAATATGCTAGGATTAGGAAAGTAGGTAGTACATAGATATACTAACATTGAACACTGATCATTTCTAAGCCAAATCACAGGTACCAATAAATCATTTAATTAGATGAAGCCTAGGTTGTACTAGTACTAGTACTAGTACTAAAAGTACTAGGTGTACTTTTAGAACTCCCCCTGTGCCTCCAAAATCTGAAGGTCTAGCACGGCAAGCAAATAGGCAAAAGCAAATGGCTCACAGGTCTCTGAAAAACATCAGGAGCCATTGTTAAAAAGTATATAAAGTAAGGGTTTCACTTCCAAGACCAGACAGCCAATACTGACGCCAGTTACTGTGTACTTGCATGGCCCTGAATTTGACTTCTTCATTTCCTGGGAAGTGAAATAGAATTAACATACCTGCCCTAAATGTGTCAAGAAGATTAAATGAATTCACAGGTATGAAGCACCAACTTAGAACAACATCATTTGGCCCACAGTAAGCACTCCAAACTATTATCCTTAGTGGTACTACTATATTACATAAAAAAATAAGTTGAAACAAGTGTATTGAAAATATGCTTTTAATCTTGATGAAGTTCACAAATGGAACAATTATGACATTTCCTTAAACAAATTGTACAATCATGTTCTTAGACAAGGCACGACAATACCATGTGTTCCCAGAGGCTGCAAGAGGCAGTGATTTCATGTCCGCTTCAGGTTTGGCAGAGACACCTTGATCAACAGGATGTCTCTCAGTGAACGAGGTTGCTACCAGATAAGCCAATGGGAGATGCCGTCACATTCACTGGATGTTGAATAAAAATGATGCATGATACATATGGAATTTGCTTATTTTGCATTCAGTTTCATTTCTTTCAAGTGACGAAGGTGCTTTTTTTCAGTATCTATTAGGATGCAAACATGTGTATCTTCCATTGGGGCCTTCTCACCAACTTGTCAACAGGAATTAATAGAAGTGGTGAGTCCAACTTCCTGGCAACCTGGGATAAGGGGAAAAAGAGAGAAAGATGGAGAAAAAAATGGAAAGGACAAGACAAGAAGGGAATGAAAAGAAGAGGAAGGAGAAATGGGAGAACAAAATGTGAACATCAAAAATATCACCAAAGACATGTATATAAGTGCTCTTTCACTAAGTAGCACTTATGAATTATGGATAAGCAGTGTAAGCAGGCTTGTAGGGCAAATGAAAAACCAATCAGCTGTGACTATAAATATTGGTGGTAATACGATGACAGCTCTCTGGTCTGTATCTGTAGACAGTGACCTGAGGTGGATCCCTTTCTGCATAGACTCACTGAGGAGGACTACCCCAGGTTAAGTTTTGTAGGCTTTTGTCTTTCTGAAGCCATCCAGTACTTTCTGCATGGCTCTTCCCTGAAAAAAAAAATGACATTGTGTCTCTGAAGCCTATCCTAGCTTTGAATTCCAGGGCAGTTCTAGCTCATTACCTCACAAGGAAGAATGCAATTAGAAAGAAGGCCTCAAGAATCTACCAGGGTCAGCAGGTTTCAAAGTGTGGACCTTAACTTTTAACCCTCCCCTTCCATCCCAGAGTAGTAGGCACTCACCTGCTTCCTGAAGCCAGCAAACTGCTCAGGCCTGAAGATCCCTGCGGCGCCGGCCAAAGGTTTTGGAGCCCACGTTGGTGGGCACGAAGTTGTCCTTCACCACACCCCCTGACCTGCTCAGCAAGCCTGCCAGCCGCTGGGTTACACAGGTGGCGGTTTTGCAGGCTCTCTTCTGAGGGATGACACTGGTTTGCAAGATGGAGAAAGAAGAGACGACCTGTCTGTCAGAAGTTGGAAGGGGGAACTTACTCACAGTGGGACCAATATAAAAAGAATTGCAGTCTTTTCAACACACCACTTAACAGTAAGTGTTTCTTCTAAGTGCAGTTATCAAAGCTGTTAGGGGAAATGACCAGCAATCTTTGCTAGGAGCTCTGCCCAAAACCCATCACCAAAACAGCATTTCTGAGCACATGCTGAAACCCTGAATTCATCATTTACAGCAGAATAAGTGACAAGGACCAGTCCTTCACCAAGACATATAGGTGGTATGGAGAAGTCACACCCCAGCCACAAACAGCAATGAATAACTTTCTATATGCAAATGGAATCTCTTTCTATATGCAAATGGAATCTCTTTCTATATGCAAATGGAAGACTTAATGTCTTACCCAGAAGAAGCTCAGAAAACAGGGTTTGCAGCTCCTTCCAGAGGTATTTTACCTGCTCCTCACCATGCTGTTCTTAGTGCTTGCACTAGATCACAAGAACACCCACCCACTGGCACTGTATCCAGCCTGCCTAAAGCTAAGGCCATCATAGCACTGGCTACTGAGAAGTCTTGAATGTGGGCCGGAGCAAAGACCATCACAGTTCACATCCTTTTAGAGAAACAGATTCATGCATCAAATGGTGAAGTGTGATGGATGTGCTAATTTTAGTACATTCAAAAGGAGGAACTGGAAACCTCTGCCATGAAACTCTCTCAGGGCTCTGTCTCTTTCCCCTGGCCTCATCTGAGTTCTGCTCTCTTTTTCCATCCTTAGGCCTCCAATATTTTCCATCATAAGCAAAGCTTCCAACACCACATGCATGGAGTCCATAAAGGAAGCAAGCAAGGAAAATAGAAAGCAGTGGAGAGCGCCATTGGCACCCCCAAGACACCCCAAAGTGAAGTAGCAGTCCCTCTGCAAGCTGCTGGCTGTATCTCCCTTCCTGCCAGGTATTTCAAGCCCACAGTCAACTGCCAGAAAAGGTGTGAAACATGACAGGACACACCCAGGACACAGGCACTCAGGTTACCACACCACTGAGATCTGGGTCTATCCAGGTAGCAGGGAAATGACATGCCACACAGTACTGTGTGAAGCATCTATTCCCTGCACACTCAGAAGATCTGATGAGGTAGGAACCCTGTAGGTGGGGGAGAATGCACAAGTAGGGGGGAAGCACACAAGTCCTCTATTGGGAGGGCTCAGAGGTGAAAGGGCCAAAGCAGGGGCATCCCACGTGTGGTTTAGTCCTTTGTGCTTGACAAAGGGATTCTCGGGTGGATGCGGGTTGACTCATGCCTCTCCCTGGGCAGTGCTGGGCCAGACCAGGGCTGGTCTCTCTCCCAGGCTCAGGGTACACAGGGAGCTGGGAGGAAAAGGGCGCTCTCCCTGGTCCTGTGATAACAGGTACATCTCCCTGTCTCAGATGCTGCCTTACCTCCCTTGGACTTGCAAATGTGAAGTGAAAACTGTGAGGTGAAAGAACCATGGAAGAAATTCCTAAAACCTCCTGAGATATGGAGCCCATCCTCTGCCTTCACACTTACCACTAATTTATGCAGGGTTGTGATGTCTCCCCAGTACTGCAAAACCAACTCCCAGAGCAATCCCAGACCTCTCCATTCCCTTTCCTGAGAACTTTCAGAAAGCAGTCTTTTTCACATGTCTAACCTCAGCCCCTCCAGCTTCACCAGGACCTCTGGCTTCCAGAAAAGTTGAGAATAGCTAGGCTCCCAGTCATGGTGAACAAGTACAGCTTGCTGGCCTCCTGGAAAGGTTTTCCTGCCTCTCTGAGCTTGGTCCTCCTGGATAAGTCAGGGCCAAGTGGGAGCCTTACCTTGAGCCCTCTGTCTCCTGCTCCTGCTCCTGCTCCTGCTCCTGATCCAGCTCACTGGCCTTCATCTGCACATAGTCCTGCACCAGTGCGGCCAGCAGGAGGCGCACTTCCTCCTCGCTGAGTGTGGCCAGGTCTGGGCTGCTCTCCAAGTCTGGCCTGGTAGGGAACGCAAAGTAGGTGTGGCCTCTGAGTCCCTTGTATCCCCTCCCCAGTGCAAGCAGCCGGGCATCCAGGTCCCTGCTTCTTCCCCAGAGGATGTGGCTGCCCCAACTCCCAGTGGACAGGGCATGAGGCCAGTGTCCTCCTGAGGACTTCAATTCACCAAGAGAAACACGTGACTCGAGAGACACAGCTGTCTGACCCAGGAGGCAGAGGGAGAGTTCACGCCTGGCTTCAAGCTGTCTCACCTGAAAGGCGCTGCCTGAAGGCTGCCAGCCTGGCAGAGGACCAAGATGCTGAAAGTCAGGAAGGGGGAGAATTTCCGGAAGCCCATGACGCCTCTCTGTAAAGAATGACGTTATCACTGCACCAGAACCAAACACCTAGCTTCTAGTCCTGCCTCCACCACAACTGCCCTGTGATTCAGGCAAGTTGTTTGACCTTCTGGTCCCTCTGTACCTTGACTAGCCAGAAGGGCTATAACGAATCTCAAGGCAATAGGGCAGAAATAGATGTGGGGAGACAGGTGCGGGGAAGGAGTGGAGTCTGCAGCAGGACCCGGAGAAGCCCAGGTACATGCACGCACACCTGTCGCGGCCCTGACCTGTGCAGACACTGCGCGCTGACGCACCCTACGGTAGCCTTGCTCCCTCTTGCGCCCGTCTTCTCAACGAGAAATGTATGAACACCTTTTCTTCTGCTAGCCGTGGCACTGAGGCGTGGAAGGGAGAACATAGGAACGGGAGGTGGGAAAAGAGCGCTGACCTCTCAAGTCCACAATTTGGTTTTGGAGACATTTTTAAACCGCCAGTTACAGGGGCCCTGCCCATTAGCTGAGTTGGTAAGTGCCTGCTTAAGCGAAGCAGTCAGGCTCAGGATTCTGTGGTTCGATCCCCAGATCCTCATGCCTTACCAGACCTGTCCTTAAGGCATCCTGAGCCGGCCAAAAAAAAATCCTTCTAAACTGCCAGTTACAGAGGTTGGGGGCTATAGCAGGTGCTGGGCGTCTGCACTTTTTGGTGAGCCCGATGTTCTAGGACGCCCGCGGGCGGGAGACGCCTCAAAAGAAGCTCAGGGTTCCATGATCCCGGGAGCCCAAAGTGAGTGGCGCAGAACACCCCCAGGTCCGTGTAGGCAGGACTCTGCACCCCGACCTGCGCCGAGACAGATGCCACGGACACACCCACCGGGGCTCTCCCAGCGCCCATGGAACCGAGGAGCCCTTCAAATGCTCGGGTTCCACCCGGTTCAGAAAGAAACTACCAGGAAGAACCTAATAGCCTCTGCTCCAGCCAGGAAAAGAGCGGAACTCCCAGGGTGCAGGGAGGCTGAAGTAGCGGGGGAGGGGTGAAGGAGAAAATCGTCCTGAGGGACAGAATCGGAAGTTCCTCACCTGGTGACACGAGCTTCAGGGCAGCGCGAGCTGAGAGTCCACCCGCGAAGAGTCCACTTCTGCCTTGAGCTCCTCGGAGCAGCCTCAGGTTCTTATACGTGCGGTACTGAGGGGGAGGGGGTCCCGGCGGCTCAGCCAATCCAAAGTGGTCAAGACCAGCCAATCAGAGGGCCGACCGAGCTCTGATGACGTCATAGCTCTTTCAACCCAGCTAGTCCTCCGGAGTAGGAACCTTCGGCTCCTGCTTGTCGTTTGCATTGAGATCCTAGCAGGGGAGCTGAAGGGCCCAAAAGGGGACGGGTATGTCCACTATGTGGGGTCAAGTTGGGGAGAGTATGGCGTCATCGACCATGAACCGCCAGAGCTCCTCTCAATTCCAGCATGCATCTTCTACTATCATGCCCATAGGGGACTCCCCCCCCCCCGACCGCCAGAAAAACACAAGTCCTGGGGGCTAATAGAATACCTGTTGAAATAGCCAGGAGAAGTGATGGGAGGCAAATGAGCCTCGAACGTTCTCTTAGCGCCTCCCGACCTGCTCCTGTGGGACACCTCCCACCCTCAGCTGTGGGCTCCGCATCCTCCGTCCACCTGGACCTCCCGCGGGGCACCGAGCTGGGTTCTACAGCTGCCCGGCGCCTCTGTTTGGCAAGCCTGCTGGGCTGGGCCGATCCGGGTCCTGGTGGCTGTCTCTTTCTGTCTGCTTCTCAGCCCCACTTTCCTGAAACTCCTGAGAGCTGAGTGCGCAGGGGTCCCGCGCTCAACAGCGGAGGGGGAAGGGGAAGCCCAAGGGGCAGCGGCAGGATTTATCCTCTCCGCCCGTTGTCGCACACTGCAGCCGGGCGCACTCGCTGGACCCCGGCTGCCCGGCTGCCCGCTACGCGGGTCGTTCGCACCGACGCTCCCGCTGTTCACCTCCGCCTGGTCCAGTTTCCCACAAAAGACCGGAGCGCACTGGCGCAGCGCTGCCGCGCCGACTGGAAAGCAGCCGGGCTTTTCTGCTTTCCGACATCGGCACGTTTTATATAGACGGGTGCACGCTGTTCCCCAAGGAGGAACAGCTGCACACGTCCATCCGTGAGCGAACTCCTCGTCTCCCCTTTTACTTGGAGCCGGTGCTGGGCTCTCTCCCTGCTCCGAATGCGGGGGCGGGGGTGGGGGTGGGGGTGGGTCCTCATTCTGGCTAAAAGATTCAGAGCAGAAGAAAAAGGGAAGTTCCATTCCCCAAGCTGCAGACTTGCTCGGCGGCGATGCTCAGCAGCCGCGCCCCAACTGTGCCCGGCGGTGCTCCGTACCTCAGCTGGGTATCTAGGAGAGCAGCGGCTGGGGTTGGGAACAGGAGACGAAGCTCAGGGATTCCCGAGGTTCGTGCTGTTTCTACCAGTGAGAAAGGAGCTCCGGGGGTTTCCGCCTAGGTCCTCTAGCTCATTTTTCCGTGACAGGTCGACCTTTAATACCTGAACAACAGCAATTCCACCCCAACAACTCGGAGACTCCTTCCTGGCTGCAAAGGCCAGCAGAGCGCACCCAGGCAGCATGAGCCAAGGCGGCCTATACTTAAAGACTAAAGCCTGCAAAGGACAGAGGGACATTTGTGGCCCTCTCCGGATTCTGGCTAAAGAGAGCGCTGGCTGCTGTCTGGAAGGGCCAGGTTGGGAGGAGCTAGCTACCTGCCTGAGGTCCCTCCCCTAGCTCGTGCACACACACACACACACACACACACACACACACACACACACACGCACGCTTTCTGACCATTGCCCCAGTCTTGGAGATCTGACACAGCTGGTAGCCCAGTGGCTCCTGACAGGGCGGCTTCTCCGCAGCCTGGCTGGGAGGAGCCCAGACTCCCACACCCATGGAGCTGGCTCCCCACCCCCACCCGCAGATGGGCAGCGTGGAAGCAAGGGAGGGCTCCTGATTGGTGTTTGCCCTCTCCAGAAATCCCAGTTTTTTACTTGAGAGAACTTCGAGCTGTCAGAGCTGGATGCGGGAAATGCAGCCTGGAAGGGGCTCCGAACATAGGTCTGTGACACTTGGACTTTTCTGAAGGGTTCGGACAGGAGCTGTACTGGCTGGGCAGAGCAGAATTCCAGACTGTGTAGATGCTATGTAGAAGCGCTCCTTGACCCATAACACCTCACAGAACTACTACTGTCTGGAATGGAGAAGGTAATAGTAGTTTCTACAAAGGCCCCCGAGACAACAGCGAGTATACCCAGTTGGCTATCTTCTTGGCCGCTGCATGCGCGTGATGTGTTAGCTATAAGCAGCCATCATTATTCGAGTTATTCTTCTTCCTCCACTAGAGTCTGCAAAGTACATAGTAGGTACACAACAAATATTCATTCAGGGAAGGCAGAAAGAACGAGGAGCTGAATGAATAGTTCAGATGGATTCATATTCCTGAGAGCCAGACAGTAAATTGCAGTCAAGTTGAACTGGGATGTAAACCCAATTTAGATGCATTAAGTCAGAACACAAGTTGTGAGTACAAAGTGAGCACCTCTTTTTATTTAATGAAAGGAATCTGTGTCCTGGGATAGACTTTCTGGAATCCAGTAAGAGAGGTGCTGAAGGAGCCCAGTAGCTTGAAAAACAAAACAAAACAAAACAAAACACAACCAACCTCAGTCTATCCTTATATTCCATTACTGAGTGAACGTGGAGAAAACTCAATAAGACAATTTTCTTTCTAAATTGAGAAAATTGCATCTTGATTTCCCTGGAACTGCTCTGAGCTCCGAGGCATCTCTAATCAACCTAACTAGCACTCAGATTCAGAAAGGATGGTTTCCTGGGAATATCCGTGGCTTTTAAATCATCTTAAACTTTCTGATGTTCGCCTTGGTTTACATCATTGCTGTTAGATTCCGAAGATATTATTAAAGTGTCTGAGAGAAACTGGCTCTGTGTACTAGAGCTTTTGAAGTTTATTTTTATTTATTTTAGGGTTCCCTTAAAAATTTCCTGGAATAAATATTCCACAGGAGAAAGTTTTATTCATTCAACATATATTTACTGAGGACCTATCTTTTATCTATCAGTCTAGAACACTATGAATTCACAGAAAATGAAACAAAAACACAGCCTTCCTGTTGCTTATATTTCAGTGGCAGACTTAACATGAGTCCTAGTTATCAGCTCTTCTCCTCCAAAACCCTTCTTCCCAATATCCAAAGTATTCCTATCCTGATTCATCTATTTTTTGTCACATTGATACCATTAAGACCATATATGTGCTAATCTTACCTGAGCCAGGTGGAGCACTTTATTTCCCTGCATATCTGTTTTCTTTTGAGCTAGTATTCACTCTTTTAATTTGTTTCTTTTTTTTTCCTGCCTAACACCTATTTATGTTTTCTTATATCGTCTCTGTTTCTTGCTAATTATGTCCTTCCTAAGTTTGTGAAACATTTTCACCATTACATTATGAACAGTTTTTATGGGAAGATTTTCAAATCAAAATTCTTCACTCTGAATTTTGAAAGTATTCCTCCATTCATTCATTTTTCCTGTTTATCTTTCATTGTTTTTGTTACAGAATCTCTACTTCTCTTTTTTCACCAAACTTTATGAATATATGCCTTGATAGGAACTGTTTTTATTTATTGTTTTTCAGTGCTGAGGTAGTACTTGAAATCTGAAATCTTACATCTTTCCATGGAGGGAAGTTTTCTTCTCTGTTTCTTCAACATGTTTATGTTCTTATTTTGTTGTTTTTCAACTTTCTGGGAGGCTTTCCTCCAAAGTTAGATTTCTGAAATTATTCTTTCATATTTTTAATTTGCAAGAGCTTTTCTTTTATTCTCTGAATGCTATTTTTGTGCCTCTTTTTATTCAGTGAGTACAGTACCTTCCAGCTCTAAGGCTATTTAATATAGGTTATTTGTTCTTTTCACATGAGGGGCAATCTCCACATCTAGTTCTCATTGGCCACTGATTCACATTTAAGAGGTCAGCAACGAAGTGTTAATGAGAAGATGGAGGAATGCAGTGTGCACAAATACAGGCCTGAACGTAGCATGGTCAAAAAGGAAAATGCTGTTCTTTGCAGGGCACAACCCTATTAAACTAACCGTAGCCTTTAGTAGTCTTTTCTTGGGGCTTCTTGTTTGTCCAGAGTCCTCCAGGTGCCTCATGGGACAATAGGCTAATGATTGAAATGAAATATAAACTGATGAATGAGGAAGAAAGCTAAAAGTTAACTGTCTAGTTTTCCTTCTGTGGTAATCCATAAGACTTTTCTTTTGGGAGGGCTGTTTTGGAAGGACCTGGTTTTTAGGGGGACCTAGATTTGGGGAACTCTGAAGAAATTAGAAGAAACATGAGTCTAACTTATTAGTCACCTTTTAAAGCCTCTTCCTTTCAGTCTTTCCTATCATTCTACCTACAATGGGAACCAGTCGTTTCATCCCTGAGCTTCTCTAGAGTCTGAGTCATTAGTCATTTGAGAGGCTACATCTTGATATCTTTCTTTCCAAACTAGAGTTTATATTAGAAACATGCATCTTTACACTACTTTTCCTTCTGCCAAGCCAGTTAAGAAGCCCATCCTAGACGGCAGACGCGGAGTCCATGTCTTCCGCCAGCACCTCTGCACCATCGCTGGAGCAGCTGCTCAACTCTCCTGAGACAAAGCTGGAGCCTCTTCTGTGGCACACTGAGTTTACCAAAGAAGAGTTGCTTCAGAAGCTCAGCTCCACCACAAAGAGTGCGGAGCACTTGAATGGCCTGCTTCGGGAGACAGAGGCAACCAACGCCATCCTCATGGAGCAAGTCAAGGTGAGGCCACTGCCACAGCTGCCCACAGGGAATGCTGGGGGATGAGGCCTCAGCCCGAAGTGCCCTGTGCAGTGCACACATGCGGCTGGAACCTCTTGATTCCATTTTTCTTTGGCGGAACTGGGCCCTTGTGCTTGCCAGGCTAGCACTTATTCTACTGAGCTATCTCCCCGCCCACAACCTCTTGATTCTTTATGTTAATAGATTTGTGTGGGTAAGAAAAAAAAAAAAGAAGAAGAAGCCCATCCTAAGGGTGGGAAATACAGTTATT